ACAATCTTATTTCAAAGAGAGATGACAGATAAAAACATAGATTCATCACTGGCATCCTTAGTCATTTGGTTAAGCTTACCCTGAATTATGCAGAAAAGAGTTGATTAATTTTGTGTGTGTGTGTGTGTGTGTGTGTGTGTGTGTGTGTGTGTGTGTGTGTTTGCGTGCGCGCAGATGGATAATGACAATAAGAAATCTACCTTCCTGCTGAAACAGAAAGCCTGTGAGAGCACAAATTATGTCTGAGTTTACAGATTCTGGTACAGCATCTCTAAACATTTAGGCAGGTATAGTGCAGGGGAGATCAAATAATGATAGGAAAGGGCACAGAAGTTGGAAAGGAAGAGTATCCATGGACATGTGCATCCTTATTAATAACTAAATGGGCTATTATCAACATGAATTTCAGTTTTGCATTTGAGCATCCTAACACCCAAAGCCATGATACAAACATACTCAAAGATACCTGTCTTTGTCATCCTTTTTCAGAAGCAATATGGATTTCTTTTGAGATAAAATACTGGGAAGAATGTCCTATGGCATGCCTCCAGGAACCAGTACCATGTGAAATACTGAGAAACTCTCAAAGCGTTGTATATTGGTTAAATGGTCATTATTCTTTTTCAAGGAAAGAACAGAAAACTCAAACATAGTTTAGAAAAAGTAATTACATTACATTAAGGGCCAGTATGGGTGTATTCTTAGGACACAGGTCAGTTGTATTCAGGTTCACCCCAGATTCTGTGATGTGGTAGCAAAGAGAGAGGAACTAAAGTGTCCTTAAGATAGTCCTTTTGAAATCAGAGTTTTGCTATTATCTGGGCAGTGGAAAATTTGAACTTGAGTTTCCTGGCAAGAATGAACAGCGGCGCTATTTCATGTTGGTAACTAAATGCCAGATCTTTTGCTTACATTAGAGCGTCACACATTGTCAGAGACTCACATCAAGGGACACTGGAATAGAGTGGGTGTATTTAAAGCTCAGTGATGAGTAAAGTACAAGGTCTGGACAGGGTTTCCTATGCAAAGTAGACAACAAGGAGCCTTGGTATGTTGAGTCAGAAGACTGCTGGAGAAGCCAGGGTAAAACCCTCCTAATGTATATGAAGAACTCTCTGGGGGAGATAGGAATGCATGTATTCTGTAGTTGTGAGCCTGAGGGACCAACAGTGACGGTTCTCTATGGAGTCGACTCTGGGAAGGAAGCAGTTTTAAGAGTAGAGCTATCTGCAACAGGCCTGAGTGAGCATAAAGTAGGTTCAGGACACTAGAAGGATTCAAAGAGAAAGAACAAATGTCTTCACGGATCCTTAAAAATAACCACTATGGGGAGTGCAAGGGAAGCTTCTGGTCACGTGGATTCACGGATCACTGAAGTCAGCATCAGTCCAAGCATGCCCAAGATGGTGTTTACACAGAGTCAAGCCTCTGCTCTGATAGAAGCCTCTTGGATTGCTTAGGGGTTCTCAGACCAAGTTCTAAATCATTTATATTTCCCAGAGCCTTCCTCAGAAACACAAATAAAGAAGCAAAAAGTGCTATTCCAAATCCTCTGATTGCCTTTTAATACTCCACATAATATGTAACGTCTCATGTTGAAACTTCACAGAGATTATAGTGCTCATTATATTAGGGTATTAATACATAGGCCACTAATACCTCACTGTGAAAAATACCCAAGTGTCATGCTAAGCTCGTGCTGCTTTGCAGTGAAAGGTGAGATGTGCTATGAAGAGACTTCAGGTGAAAACTGGGTATCTCTCATGAAAAATTATATAGCAAGGGCATTTATAAAGACAGAAAAACATAGGATATAAGAGTCAAACAATGAGCTTCTGCTTTGACTCATTAAACAGCTCAGCCTCCAGGCATATGAATGGTGGCCAGGAGGTCATATAAAGTCACCAACACCAGCATGCATACTTCAGTCATCATAATTTGTGATGCACATACAAACATTTTCCATACAATAGACTAAAGTTCCTAACTCATCATAGCAATACTTGAAATATTTTGGAACATCATAGGTGTGGTTAATTTTTTAAATAAGTAAACTCTAAGGTCTGTCTTCCTTAAATGTTTCTGTATGTCTATTTGCATGCTGTATTTTAATCCTATGACCCCATATCATGTCTCCCCTCCTCCAATGGTATCTCAGCAAAGCTGATACTCCACCAAAATGTTTCCAGAAGAGTGCCTTCTGGGTAGATCAGCAAAGCCTATCTGTACCTACTGAAGCTCCATGAAATGCCCATAACAAATATAAGCTCTGTGTCTTATTGTGTCTTCATTGCATCATTCACAGTTGTTTGTGAATGGCTAAAGGTGTGTGTGTGTGTGTGTGTGTGTGTGTGTGTGTGTGTGTGTGTGTGTGTGACAATAATGGATCCTGCTAAGCTTCCTCTGGCAAAGTGTCAGCTGAGCTTTTCTGGGTGCTTCATTTGCATGCCATTTTCATTCTAGCTAAGTGCACCTGCTCTGAAAGTGCAGGCTTTGGAATCAGGACATCATTTGTTCAAACAAGAACCTATGTTTCTTAGCTCAATCTTCTTGCTAAATTAAATCTCAGGAATTGATTCTTAATTAACTAACAGAAAGAAAAAGTTGATGGCACTTTTCTTGGCTAAACAGAGCAGCCTTGAAACTGGTAATATTTACACTCTCCTAAGTACTCTTCTCGTCCCTAAATCATCAGCGCCTTCCAAAAGGAAGCTTGGCATAAGAAGTCTGGACAAGCATGAATTTTATCTGAAACAAAATAGAAATGCTTCAGATAAATTAAAAGCCAAGAGCTGTTATGGAATAATTTTGGAGGAATATGTTTATCTCGTGGTAGTTTTAAACTGATCATAAAGGTTACCTTGGCAAATCGTTGATGGCTACCGAACAAGACCGTCTTCCAGTTCGAGGCCCTGTCTTCCTAGCCCTTCACCATAAGCATTTTAATTTTGTGTATGGGTGTATTGTGGATACACCAGCAGGCTAATGAAGTCTACAAGCCATTTATCAGAATGTTCTTAAATGCATAAAATACACATAATTACAAAAAATAAAATTATATTGAAATGCAAGGATTGAAGTATCAAACATGCTTATGATATGGCAAGGTATATCCTTTATTGTTAATGCATTAAAAATAGCCCCTAGCCAGAGTCTAATAAATACCATAATCTTGAAATAATAATAGAAAAAAATCACTCTTCAAGGTGGAGCAAGTGTGTGACTGTGTTCCATGCTTTCTTATCTTCACCATGAAATTGTAAATAATTGTAAACAACTAGCCCCTTTTCACTTTGCAGCTGAAATCACAAATTTTGCAGCCCATGCTACCTAAGCCTTCCTCTCCCTTATGGTCCTATGACCCTATGCTTTCCTGCCACTGCAGTTATTACTCATAGATTTAATTTCATGTTTACTTCTGATTACCATTTTGGACACCTCAATAAACCTAATATGGCAAAAAAAATGGTTAAGAGAATTTACCTTGTTTATAGTGATAACCATGTGGCTCTACCGACTAGTATATACTTAATATTTTCTGATTGGATAAAGATGGTAAAGAAAAAAAGGAAGGACTGAACTGATGAATGTATTTGACCATCCCTAGCCCTTGAGCAGCCAGAGCAATGGAGGTATTTTGCTTGTAGCCTTAAAATAGGTATTTCCATCAATGACAGAATGCTAACACGGAAACTACTAATCATTAGAAAAGAAGGTAGTTGCATTAGTCAGATTTCTTAATACTGTAACAGAACACCCAGCATAAAGGACTTTAAAGGGGAGCTTTGTTTTTCCCCAGGGTTTCAAAGTTTTCATTCCACCACAGTGAGGAAAATTATCCATCATAAGTCAGGAAACTCTCTAGGGAGCCAGGTAGCAAATATTTCAGTCTGGCATGTTGCAAGTCTTTCTCTGTCCTGTCAGCCAGCTCCCAAATAATGACAAAGGAGACTTCTTATTAATTACTACAGCTCAGCCTATAGCTTGGGTTTGTTCTTAACTAGATCTTATAACTTAAATTAATCTATTTATATTAATCTACATTGTATCCCATGGAGTTCCTGCTCTTCCATCTTGCACCTCTTGTTCTCCTCTCCATGTCTCCTGGCTTCTCCCATGTGCCTAGATTCCTCTGTGCCACAAGTAATGGTGAGATTTAGTTCTGATTGGTTTTGATAGCTTGCATTTCAACTTCAGCTTTGAACAGACTTCCCTTTTTATTTGAGATTTGCTGTGGGAGCTCAGCTGCTATCCATACCCCTGCCTTGATCCCAGAAGTTCCAGATTCATAGAAACATCATTATAGTGACTGATAGAAAATACTTGCTCATTACTTCTGATCCCTGTCATTAAAATGTGAGCAGACAGATCTTCAAGTCCTTTCCTCTAGCTATTTGGCTGCAAAGAGCTGCAAAATGCATGGGTGGCAGAGAAAATCATCTTTTTTTTTTCTTTTCCTGTTCTTCCCATCAATATAAAGAAATTAGAATCCACAAGCATTATCGGACTCTGGCAATGGGTGCCCAGCTTAGCGATAATAGCATGTGATGCCTGATAGTTTACATTGACAAATACAAAAGTGTGTTCCACTTCTTAGAAAGAAGAGTGATTGTAAGAGGCATTCCCAGATAGAAGAGCGAGACCCACTCTTCAATCTTTCTTAGGGTTCCTTTTAAGGAGAGAAGTTGAATGGGAAGTTCATGGATTCCTAAATGTCAACATTTAAATACAGCATCACACAACACACAACACAATACAACACAACACAACACAACACAACACACACACACACACACACACACACACACACACCAACACATAAAACTTTGTCTTCATCAGTTGCAAAAGAGCCCCATTTACACTAAATATCCTACTGGACTGTGATATTTGAAATGCTCAGTAATTATTTAGCTCATTCCTGTTCAAGTGGATCTGGTGCTCTGTTTTGTGGTGATTCTACGTGATTCTCATCAAATTTCTCTTTTTCTGTTACTTTGCAGTTTTCTCCTTGTATTTGGTTGCTTGATTTTGTCAGTGTTTTCTACCATCCCTGAGCACACAAAATTGGCTTCAAGTTGCCTCTTAATTCTGGTAAGTAAATCATATATATTTATAAATTTATACATACATATGAATGTACATAAAGTTTCTATAATTTAACAACTCTGTATACTATTTATGCTATGTATTTTATCCTGTATTTTATCCAGAAAGACTGTTACTGCAAATCATAAAACTATCAAAGATCATTGAATGTAACTTGTAGTCAAACATGAGAAATCCTTGCAGGAACATTCTGGATGCTATTAGACAACAATATCATGTCTTGCAGGTACATCCTGAGAGGAAGGCAGTGTTTAAAGGCAGTTTTGGTTATGTTTGCCTCTGCTAATAAACAATTATAACAAAAATCAGCGTGCATGTGATTTCTCACTATTGCTGAAGGCTACAGGGTAGAAAGCACTTTCCAATGACTGAATTTAGCAATAGCTAAGTATAATTGGCTAAAAACTGTGAATGTGGCTCCTCATAGGAAAACAGAAGTCCCTTTATGCTTTTTTCAACTAACAGACTGTATTATGAGTGTGCTGCTAATGCAGTTACCTGGTGAGAAACTGCAGATTTCTCTGTTTCCATTATGCTGTCAGTCCTCAACCACACAGAATTATCCAATTCTCTTTAAAATGGAAAAAGACCCCAAGATATTTTAGTCTGAGTTATTCTGAGCCTTTTAAGCTCTTGTAGTTTCTATTACAATGAACCCATAGCACTTCATGCTCCAATCACATCTGATTGAAAGTTTGGTTCATTTACATCCATTTCAACCTGGCTCACATAGTCCAAAATTATTAGACTTGACATTCTCAGAACTGTGTGAATGAGCTGGAACAACTCAATTCTGTGAAGCATGGTGCAGCAGAGGAAGGAGGGGAGATGGGTTAAGATGGTTTCTGTGAACTAACAGAGATTGGTTGTATATAAGAATCATTGGATAGGCTATGATTCTGTGTCATAGAGACGGAAAAGGAAGATTTCAGCTCATGTGATATGAGAGGAGACAGATGCTTTCCTGTCTCTGCTTTCATATGACTAACTTGTGCTTGATGTTGGTAAGCTAGCACCAAGTCTTTATATTAGGGAGGAATCACTTTTGAATTGAGAATGAATCTACTCCAATTTGTCTCCATACACATTGTGCTCAGTGGTATATTGCTAATGTTATGACTTCCATTTCCAAAACCCAAGGGAGAGAACAGCTAAAAGAAAAGCACTCCAGGGGTTTGTTCCATTGCACAGTTTACATTTGAAGAGCAAGTAGGCTTTTAGCTTAGCCCACCCCTCTGCTTATTATAAATGATTCTGAAGTCTAAGGTCTAGGGTTCAGCTGATTTTAGGTCCATCCAGAACAAGAAATTTTAGACTGAAAATGTAAATCTGACTTTCAGACTTTGGAATAATTTTTTTTTAAAAAAAGCATTGATCAACTCCATGAACAATTATATATTTAGAATTATCAGCCACCAGGAATCCCATAAAAAGGCTAAATTCATAACCAAGACAAGAATCCAAAACTGATGGGTTATATTCACTTATATTCAGGGATTTTGAGAATATAACCCATCAGTTTTGGATTCTCAGTAAATAAGATTTGAGGAAATTGGCAAAATAAGAAGCACCAATACTGTGACAACCTACATTGACAACAGCTATATCAGCATTATTTTACATGACTACTTTTAAGAATCTGGAGTCTATTAAATGCTTGCAAATTCTAAGAGAAGTTTAAGACAGTTAGCTGTAATTAATTTCAATTCCAGCCTTTAGCACAATGAGTGCTACATATCTACTAAGCCCAGCTCATTGTATGCAGCTATTCCTGTGTTCTAGAAGTAACCTTCGCTTTGTGTATGGGAGCCAGGTTGGGCAAAAATAATCTTATCCAAATATCAAGGTTCTGGTTATGATTGTCAGTTGCTGCTTCTAATCATAGATGAAGAGGGAGAAAGTAGCCACTGTTTTTGTTACATCTCCTTCCTACGCTAGTGCTATCTACCAAGCTGAGGTGACTTCTGGGGAACTTAGAGGTCCTTTTCCCTGGGTTTAGAGCATATTCCTTATGAATATAATTGTGACATCAGCAGCTAGGATAAGCGGATACAGAGCCATGAAGGACCAGAGCTTTGTATATCATCAAAGTTACATTGCTATAAGTTCAGATTAACCATACATTAACCAACGTGTTCCTATGTCAACCACAAAAATGGTAGCTATAGAATTGAGAAAACGCAAAGGGAGTTTAAACATTTCACCACCAAATAAAAATTATGGAAACACTAAAGAAAAAAATGATATAGGAAATGAGAGACCCTGAAAATGCTTTGAATATAAAACTAAGAATGATGTGGGAAAGATAGATGTTCACTAGTCACTAATTTCTTTAACTATAAATGAGTCAAAATTACTAGGGAAAATACAGGGTTTCGCAAAAAATATTTTTAAAAGTACTGACTACAAGAGACTCCTTTAGGTCAAAGACACAAATATTTCAATAATAAAAGGATCAAAAAGTTACACCATGCAAATAATAACTCAAAGAGAAAGGAAGTAGATACACTAAATGGAATAGACGAAATAAACTTCAAAGCAAAATAGGGCTATAAGAAACAGATATGTTTTTTAAGAAATGATTATATAAAGGTTCAAGATTCCATTATAAAAATACAAATTTTCATCATGTAAAGGGCTCAACACAGCAAAGAAAGAAGTGTAAGATATAAAACCATGTACCTAATAAGTGCCTACAAAAATA